GGGGAAAGGCATACTTTTCTGCATGCTCCAAAGGCTGTAACATTTGGCATCTTAAGGAAGTCTTCTTGGCACTTCAGGCCTAGGGTAAAAAAAAAATTCTACAAACTATTCCTCATTGAAATTGCCACGTTCAGTGAATGCCATTTTATTGACATGCCTGTAGGATCCTGTACCAAAGTTCAGATTCTTAAGTTGGTGAAAATGTCACAGTGCACCTCTACTAGCATAGGTGTTATCTATCAAGATCGGTCAGTGTATACACAACAGAAACCCAAAGAGAACTTTTCTTCTTTGCTTGTGATTCAAACCACCCTTATACAAAGGAGGCAGAATAATACAGATTATGTGTCAAACAAGAAGGCCTTGTAGGTTATTCAAAGTACAACCTGTACAATATGTCTCCTTCTGCTGATACAGTTCATCTCTAGATCATAAGGAACCCCTGTAATACACATAACAGCTTAGCATTGCCTGAAGTTTTTTATGCACCTCAAAGACACTAAAACACCTTCCAACAGGGCCAACATTATGTTAAGAGAGTAGGAAGAAAACAAAGTATCACAAGGATTATAACTCACAATGTTCTTCAGGAAAAAAATTAGAATCGAGGATGTGAGAATTGGTATAAAGTTCATAATAGGTATGTTACACCCTCAGAACATATGAAAATGTCTAAACACAGCATATATATCATAAGCATCCCACCTGTTCATTCTGATGAGCCCCGCCACTCACACTTATATAAAAAAGTACATGAATGCATGTGTGGGCTGTGGTACAGACTTGCTTGTCACATGGCTGATGATCTCAACCAAATGAAAATCCTTTTCATTTACCAAGTACACCAAATGCACTTCCCCTACATTTCTCCACCTATCTATAGATAATAAAATGAATGAATCTGATTGAACTGATACATCTAACAATATGAACAGTTCTGCAAAAAAACATGAAGTACTTCCAGTTGTTTGATAGGAATTATGAGGAATATACAGAATAGAAGGTGGTCCACCCACATTTTTTGGCTCCAAATAGGGATGCCCTGTCTAACACATCACCTCAGTTCCAAACTTCTCTTTATATCATATTTCACTGTCTTAAGTTCCCCTTACATTTCTGTATATCTTTAGAAAGATGACAGGCAGCTATAGATGACAGACAGATATACATTAGAACAGTGACACAAGAGCATCATCTGAACAAAGCAGATATCTCATTTTAAGTAGTATTTGAGTTCTTTGACTATAAAAACAAAACAACAACAACAAAATTTCCTCCATTTTCTGATCAATTTTTTTCATGTATAGTGCTGAGATTAAGATTTAAAAAATGGGATAATTTAGTTAAGCAGGACTTTGTAAGACATGAGACCATGAAAAATTATATATATTTTTTTAAGTCATTCTCTTTTTTTTTTTTTTAATCTGCTTTAAATTTCAAAAATTATATGAAAAGATAATTTGTTTTTAAAATCCACTATCCTGTATTAAGTGCTAGAGTACAGAGACTTAACTTGATTAAGGTCAAAAAACACTTTCGTAGTTGAGGTCATCACCATCTTTTAAAATTTCATTTCAAGACAGTATGACTTGTTCACATTCCAATAAAATTAACAAAAAAAAAGGCACTTCAGATTAAGCTCTTCATTATAAATACTTTTGCAACTGCTAAATTGCCATTATTGTTTGACTGCATTTTTAAGAGAGATCTCACTGAGAGTTCATGAAAGTTACAGTATTGCACTCCCAGAGACTTAAATCCTAATGAATTTTTACCATCATTTTTCTCCTCTCTGTAAAGCAGCACAGAGAATGACCAGAGAAGTCACAGCCCTCCTTCCAGCTGCAACCTCTTCAATAAGCACTTTCTCAAATCCCAAACCTCCATAAAGTAGGTACTTTACAGGCACAGGTACATAAAAGTGGATACACATTGCCCTAAGACAGCCATTTGATGAAAGGACTGAAATGCCCCCATCTGGTCCATTCACACCCCAGTCCCCCATATGACAGACTGTACCACAGCACCTCTAAGGGAGCATTGGTACCAGGCTTTTCCAAACAGCCTTTTCATCCCAAAACCATTAACTCTTTTGACACTTGTACCTCTGAGCACCTGCAGGCAGTGAGCACAGGAGGTCTCTGCTGAACAGAATAAACGCACCTCACTGCCTGGAGCCAGAGAAGAACCCATCACCCGCAAGCCTAAGCAGAGATGTGACACGAACCCTCACTCAGCCAAAGTAGTATGCCACAAGGTGCTTATTCAAGCCCACGTGGCAACTCTGCAGAGTCATATGTTCTTCTCAAACAGGCACACGACCACAGAAGTCACAGACAGTACAGAATTTACAAATTCTTGAGTATGCAGGACCATTCTTCCCTCTCTACAGTATGTTGCTAAAGTACTTTAAAAACCACATGCCATAAAGAGATAATTTATTGCCAAAATGCAAATCTTCAGAACATCTGTCTGTGAGGTCTCTCCATAAATTCACATAAAGCTATCAAGGCTCAGGCTTACAGCACAGCATAACCACGCTGAACAGTGTTTCAGACACTCTTCAGATTCTTCAGTATTCTGGATACTGTCCAAGTAGTAATTAATAGAGTCAACACATTCCCAGTATTTGGTGTTGATTCTGAACCACACAAAACTGTCTCCTCTGAGAGTAGTGAAATGCAGAACACATGAAATCACATCAGACTCTTTCAGATGTGGAACTTACACAATATTTGCTGCAGATAATAAAATCTCATCAGCCCTTATTCATGCTAGATAATAACAAGCTATTTTCTGTCAGAGTCAGGGACATTTTAAAAAAAACATGCCATCTCCTCCAGTTATGAAAAGAAAGAGCCACTTCTACAAAGCTTTATTTTATAGCAATATCAAAATAATGTAAATAACACACTGGAAGCACCACAAGGCATTATGAGCTTCACATAATCCAGTTACCTACCACCAAATCACTGAAGAGGGAACAAAACTGCAGCTCCTGTGATGCTTACAAAACAGCTGTGTTACAGTCAACAGAGGGGCAAAGCCCTGTGTTTATTTCTGGAAGATCTAGACAGGAATGGTATCAGAACCAATTTTTCTGGCCTCACCTCCAGTTTGCAAGACCGCAGCTGAAAGGGCCATTCGATCCGTTATACCCCTGCAACATCCAGCCCGGTGAACTTGCCCACAAGGATGCCAGTTCATGCCTGGCAAATAGGCTTGCTTGCTCACTCCCACCATGTATGAAGCCACCGTTTCACCAGAGCACACGGATAAAGCTTTGACTGTTGAAGAAGGCTTCAGTGTCCTCTCCAGAAACGCTGTGCAAGCATTTCCAACAGCACTTCCGGTGCTGCCTACCTCTGAGATGATGGGTCACACAACAGAGCAAGGCATTTACAGATATTAATGTGATAGCATTCTACTGTCAAGTCAACCAGCAGAAGGCAATGCTGTGAGGAAAGATCTGCAGCAGTTGGTACGCTACAGCAGTGACACAGATGTGAACTGAAAAGGGAGAACTGTAAAGAGAGAGGAATGCCTAAAAAGCATTCAAATACAACTGAATGTGTTTTGTTTAAGAGGAGACTAAATTTTTCCTTATTTACACCTCAAAACTGAACACCAGTTTGCTGCATATCCAGCTTTTTCTTATTCAAATATAACCCTTGTGCAAGGGCAGGTATTACCAGACCCTGAGGCTAAGCCTTCTCAGTCTGAGTGTTTTATTGAACTACTGTAATTCTCTTGACTTCTGAAAATCGAATCTTTAAAAACATTAATACCCCAGTGCTGTTTTACAGAATCCCAAGTATCTCAAGGATAGCCCATGAAAAGGATCTAAAATAAATTGTGCATGATCTTAAATTTACTTCATATGTATGGAGGATTTTTAGGGCTCAGTGAAATAGCAAATACCAATGTGTTTGGCTCAGATTTTGATCTTGCAAAATTAGGTAGTCCCTCTACCCTTCTACAGGATAAGCTAATAACATTAAAAAAAAATACTCTCTACAACTGGATACAAATAAATCATCTAACTACTGGATATATAAATGAAATAAATATTTTCATTTCTCCTACTAATTGAATACAGGGAGTACACAATTTTCAAGCTGGCCTTTCCTGTTCCAATACCAGATACCAAAACTTCATTACTCAGTTGTAATTACTTCCTCTTCATGATGTAGTTTATAGGTAGAGAGTGAGAGGAAGGCTACATTTAATACACATAAGGCACTTGGTAGAAAAAGTGATGCTGATTGGGCAAGGACACATTACCGCACCTTTGCTGAATTAGCCAGGGACCTTCGTAAAAAGTTTTTGCTGGCTTTATACCGGTTCATGGAGGAGCACATAATGCATGCCAGCACAAGGTTAACCTGCCAGGAATTTTCCAATGCATTTGAACCATCAGAAGGAATTTAAATTTCACCAAAACGCTGTGGTCAAACAGTGAGATTAGAAGAGAAAATATAGTGGAAGCAGAAGGGGATAAGAAAAAAACGGAATGAGTGGTGACAGTTGGTGGAGGGAACCATATCCTAAATAATCGGGCTGGACAGAAAATGATTCTTGAAGCAGGGAGAGCCAGTACAAGGAAAGAGGCAGTCTTCCAAATATGTTTGGGTTATTTAGGAATATAGCCCTATGGTATCAGGTGACATATAAAGGAGATTATTTTCATAGCAAAATGGCAGCACTAAGGAATCAGGAAAAGTAATACTCCAAGATACTGTGATAAATTTCTTGCAATAGACCAGTTAGGTTGATTTCTCCTTATATATCCTTATATCCTTATATAACCTCACAATGAAAGCCCTGTCCTCCCCTTCCACCCTAGAAAACAATAAACAGCACTCACTCTTGCTAAAAAAATAAATTAAAATATATATATAAAAAATTACACCACGCAGTCATGGTACAAACCAGCTCTTGTACTGTGAAAGGGAACAAGGAAAAACACATCAGTGTTACACAACAGTAGCAATACTTACATTCTTGTATTGCTGGTCTTGTTGATAATTACAGATTTTCCAGTCTGATCCACATTGTGATCCATTCCAAAGTAAGCTGCCACTCTGTGCACTAGCATCCTCTGATACGAAGACATCTGAGGGAACTTTTTATAGTGATTACTAGGAAAAAAGAGAACAAATAGCATTGATAATTACATTTCCCTCTGAGCTATAAATAAATGAAAATAGCAATACATTTGATAATTCAGTGGACAGAAATCTAACTTAAAATTTCTCCATTGCACATTTACATATAAATGTTTGCTACAGGAAGGCTGGAGGGAAAAAAAAAAAGGAATTAATTTTAAAATTTCTATAAGTGCATTTCCACGTGCTACATTGAGACAAACAAAGCTCATGCTTCATGGTACCTAGTGAGTATTCTGTGTGTTGGGAGGAACTCATCTGCTGACCCCCCCACCCCCCACATACACACTCCCTGCTCAACCAAACCTACAGATTTGTAGAGACACTGGCAACAGCTTTGTGCCTTTCTCCCAGAGGTCAGATGCAGGATGATTCTGGAAAGATCTTGTTTGGCAAATATTCCTTTTTTCTCTATTACTGACAAAATGCTTATTTCCCGTCAGCATAATTTCTTCCTCTGCGGCTATTCTGACTCTCCATTTTTAAAGCTGCAGAAACATTTTATTATAAAGAGCTAATGATAACAAGAATCCCTCCACCCAAGTTCAGTTTTATTTTCCAATGCATTAAAATAATATAGCACAAAGGAAGAGACAAGAGATAACATCCTTGATTATTCTCTACGCTAAAAGCTTTAATTATATTTTCGGATCTAAATGAGCGGAGCCAGTGCAATTATAACACAATGAAAAGCAAAAGGTTTTCATTTACATCTACCGTATTTTAAGCAATACCACCACGTGTCAGGAAATAAAAGCCTGCTCTTGCAGCGTGCCAGTAACAGTCCTCAGGAGCACTGTGGTCCATACGAGCGAATCCCTCGCACAACTCACATTGCAACAAAAGCACATGACTTAATAACCAAGTGTGGAACTCGACTTACTTGTTGTCACTAATAAAATCAATAATTTCCTGTTCCATTTTCAAGAGTATCATTCTGTCCCTGTCAAAAAGAAACGCAAGGAATTGTACCATCAACTATCAATAGACATTTTAGAGGAAAAATTAATATATCAGCATTTGAAAGGCTATTTTGCAAGCACTGTCAGTCGTCTTGATTAAAAATGAAACGTGCTTTACCCTGGCTCATGTGGAAAGGACTGCAGCCTGCTTTGCTGCAGCTTTGCAGACATACACGACAGGCTCTGCTCTTCTCTGAGCTCAGCTATGGTCTGAAAGCACTTCTGGCCACAACAGGCTGCAAACAATGTGTTGCATAGAAAGATCTGACTGCTATGGATAGCTTTGGTCCTTTTTCACCCCTTTTTTGATAGAAAATGAGATTTCCAGCTAACCTAGCTCTTTCACAAGAAGAGCTGCTACCCACAAAAATTTTCAACATTTTGCCTGAGACATATCTTCCACAGGGCATTGATTTGCTGCAAGAAGACTGGACATATCCAATCTAGTTAGAGAGTACAAGAGAGAACAACGCCCTTGAACTATGGTTCCCAGGAGACAATGCCACAGTATTTCTCAGTCAAAATGCTCTGTTTTCAACTGGAAGGTCCCAGATATTCCTTTTTTTCCGTGCTCTCCTGCCAAAAACATTCAAAAATTTCCCCAGTGTATTTCACACATTTCTAAGGTTGACAGAGTCCCATCACTCCTTAGTTCTTCTGAACTTTCTCATTTTGCACAGCTAAAGCAATTGAAGGACCTTCCATCATCTATACAAGAGGTTATGCAAGTTCTCCTATAATTGCAGAATTACATGGTACCTATTTAGCAGATCCAATTGAAATGAAGGATAAAAATCACAATGTATAAAAATGTTACAGATCCTTCCTTAGATGTTTAGAGGCAAATTTAATGATGATATGGGCTTGTAGCTCCAAATGACAACTATGGGAATACTGAGAGAAGAATTTGGCACTGTGCACAGGATTTTAATTGTGTGCAGCACAATTAAAGGAAAGCTATTTTATATTCATATAGAAATCTCCAACCATAATAATGTATTATTGCAATCACCACATAGAGCTGTATACAAGAAGGTAAGGACAAAGACCAGATGTTAAGTGAAATTAAGCAGTGGGTGACTGGATCAAGGAGTAGAAGTTGATGACTTTTTATAGCATTTCTCTCAGTTAACAGCCTACCTTCCTTTACATTTTGCCTCATAACCATCTCCAGAACAAATAAAACACAGTGTACAGTTATGGGAAGTCAAAACCTGCCACCTATAATTGCAGAAATACCAGCTCTAACACAGGAAATACCTACCTGGGGTTATTCTTTAATGTGTTAATGAGAAACTCATGCAAATCTATGCCTGTTGAATCTGTATACTCTTGACTGCAATCTGAAAAATAAAAACAAACACCCTCCACTCATTTATTTCATTTCAACAGTTACAATTAAGCGACGCTATAAATCAAATCCCTTTTCCAGCAATAATCTGAAAGCACATGCTCTGAAAGTGTTCATTTGGAGTTCAGCCAAGAGGGATCTACATTCTGAAGCATCAAGTGGACATTCATGGTTCCTCTGTACCACTCCACCGAGAACACAGCACCAAAACTAAACATTGAAAGAAACTGCAGGTTTTTTAAAAACACAGAAAACCTTCAACCCCATTCAAGATCCTGCCAAGTTCTTCCTTTAAACCACTAAAACAAATTTTTAAAATGAGGAATAAAAAGTTCTATTCATCAATGTGTCTTTGTATCCCTTAATAAATGTCGTACACGGTAAATGAGGAATCATGCCAGTAGGAACTCTATTTGCATTAACAGATTGAAATCCAATGACACCTGGGAGTGGGCAGGTAATAGGGATGCGTGACAGTAGTCAGAATTAGTGTTTCAGTATTATCTCCTGACTCAAAAGTAAACACAGATCGTCATGTTGGCGTGAACTGTGAGAGCTCCACTGGAGTCAAATGACTGTTCACACCAGCTGCAGATCCACACTCAGGTAGGCAATGATTATTTTGAGAGATTACACTGCAACTGTATTCCATGGATTAATAAAAAGATTTAAAAAACAATAGTAAATTTAGATACAAGATCTTTCCTGAATAAGTCTTATTAGGTGATAATAGTAAATTGCAATGCAGGTTGAATGCCAAGGATGGATTTCCTTACAGCATTTAAGATAAATACTCCAGGAGAGAGGAACAATAGTAAAGAGGATTACTCTCTAATGCCTACACTGCACAAATTACATGCCAATATATTATCATTAATCTGGAAAAAAAACATATTAGTGTCCTACACTTACTATATAATCACATATATATTTATATATTTATGTGTTTATACCAATATGGTTAAGTATTCAAAAGATTGCTTTTACATTAATGAAAACTAATAACATCTAATATCAAACCTCAGTGTGGAAGGTTTCTTCACTCTCAAAGCCTGATGTTTGTATGGAAAAGGTTCTCATGCACATACATTTCAGGTTCTGAATTTTCTTAATATGAAAACACTCCTACTTATATATTTATACACAAATAAATAAATACATGCTTATAAAAATATATGATCCTTTCTACAACAGTAATCATAACAATTTAAATATTTTTAAGTTCACCTTTTGATAACATTCTGATCTTGTTTTTTTCACTGTTTTTATCTTTATTTTTATCCTTCTCTTTTTCTTTCTCGGAGTCATCTTTATTATATTTATCTTCTTCTTGCAAGCTAGGAAAACTGGAAAGCTGTAGTTGGATTGATTCCTGTTGGGAAAAAAAAGATAGATAAATTATGGGCCAGATTCAGTAAGCTTCCAATGGCTTCCAACCTGCAGATATTGGCATTAAACTACGTGTAGCTAGAAAAGCTGAAGCCAGATACATTTCTTTCCTATTTGAAAAATGAGGTTTTTTTTAGCCAGGAGAGTAATGACATCTTAGAGGCCAAATTCTACTAGTAAGTAGGTATTTTTTCTCTAATATTTGAATACTATAAAATGTTAGTCTACCTATATTAAGGGCACTATATTATGCTCCACTTCAGTAATACTCACTTAAGAGTTATTAAAACAATTAAATACATTTTACATGGGCTTTCTTAATTAATTTTATAATTTAATACTACACGCGTTAAGTGATGATCAATGGATGGATATCTGAAAAATATCACTTCTTCCCCTCTCTAGAAAACCTGCAGTTTCATATGAACTGTTTTGCACATGTAAGTGCAGTATCAGCTAGACTGAGCCTTCTGGGTCTGATAGTTGAAGAGTGCCAGCAAATTATATACTCAGTTGTATACAAGAGGACATACTAACTAATCAGGTACTTTACATTTAAAGACATATGGAGATGTGCCTTTAGCAAAAGAGGTGAAATGTGCACTGTGATCTTTCAAGTACATTATAGTAAGTGAACTTCTTTAAGGCATCATGAGTTTTATCCTCAAAAAGTCAGTATTTCAGAGACTATGAGTCCCTTTGAAAGCATGCTTCAGCTTTTAAAAGTTAATTAAAACTCAGAATTCAAGCTGGTTTGCATTTTCTGATTTTCCTTAAAGAACTTGTTTTTCCCTGCTTACAATATTACTTTATACCAGCTTTGTTTTAACAAAACCCAAATTGTTTTCTTTTGAAGTTACCATGGCACAATCTACACATTTCAAGAAATCTTAAACTGGTTGGACAAACTTGAAGGAAGCATACTTCTGTGTTTTATTCTTTTAAAGAAAAACAAAAGTGCTCAAAGTAATACTATATGATTAAGTAGTGTAAAAAAAGCACATTTGAAGTAAGCTGTCACAAAACTCCCTGGTAAAGTGGTTTTCTTTAATAGAAGAGAGTCCTGCATGCCTGATAATTTTTTGGCATTATGTTAATAAAAACCTATATCACCAATACTGGAGAAAATTGGAGTTTCTTGAATGCTAGTAAATTCCCTTCCTTCACAATTTTTCAAAGTATACTAGCATACCAAAAGAGTAATAGAAAACATTAAAGTAAGGGGTGGTTTTTTAAACAACCAGACCATTATGAATTCAAAAAATGCTTCCAGTAATTATTACAAATTTTACGTTTCTGAATTCTTTAAAGAACTACAAATCAGCCATCACAATACATGTAAGACAAGCTCCTAACAGAACGGGATATCAGCATAAACATGTCACAGTAAGACAGAAATTGGTAACTTCTCAGCTGAATCATTACTGACTTTTTGTGAAGTTTGAATGTTGCACAAAAGACTTGAGATGAAAAGCATTGTAAAAGAGAAACAAAACCCTGGACCCAAAATTTAACCTGACCTACCATCCTTAGTCCCTACTTCTGTTAGTTTTGGCTGACAGTATTAGCCAGAAATTGAGCCTACAGAGGGAAGGAGTGGGATTCCTGGTCATTTGAGGTAAGGCTTCATAGAAAAATGTTTCCTAACCTGCTCAGTTGTGCTCAGAAGACTATCGCTATGCCTACTTTCTTTCACTTCAAATGGCAGTTCAATTTCTCTTCAAACAACAAAGTTTGGATCAACCACTGCTAAATGACCCCAAAGGATAACTTTTGATTCCAGGCACTGCCAGAAGCAGAGCGACTTGTGCTGCTAGCTTTTCAACAGGAGAAAAATGTAACTGGCCATGCTGTTCCCAGGATATTAATCCTAAGCTTCACAGTGGTTCTTAAAAATGCACATATGAAAATGATAGACTTTACAATCATATGAACACAGCACACGTATGAAGATACAGTAGATACTGTTTTACATGTAATGTAATAGTGATGTATCCGCACTAGAAGAAACACACAGAAGGGTTGCAGAGTCGTGAAAGCAAGTTACTGTATATTTTCTTAGATTTTTTATTGATTTTTCTCAATAGTAAAATACAATGTTAATAAATACATTGATACAAGTATAGAGAACAACAAAATAAATAATCAAATTGCAATAATACACTTCTTGGTCAATAGTATAACATTAAAGGCAACATTTCTTTTAAGTAAGGACACAGCGAACCATCAGGTAAGCATTCAAGATCAAGTAATACAGGTAAACAAATTTTTTCCTTATACAGGAAAATGAAGGCAAGTATCCAAATATAAATACAAACATCAAGTCTGCAGTACAATCCATACTCAGTAGTTCTGGCAATGTACCGTACATTCTCTGGTAATTAATTCCCTGTGGTTTGTAAACCATTAAGATAAAATAATACTTTAAAAATTTTAAAAAAATAATTCCAAACCAAAAAATAAGCTATTTCTCCTCTAACTTGAAAGCAAAGGAATTTGGTTGGCATAAAACTTCCTGTATCTTTCAGCCAGCCCAAGGAGGAGCCTGCAGGTCCAGCTTTCCATGGCAAAGCTGAGCCACATTCATTAGTACAAGGTCAGTGAGAGCAAAAGGGCAATTCCTATCAAATTAATTACACCAAGCCAATTGTGTCTTTAGGAAACAGATGCTGGGGTCAAGGGAGACATTTCATCTCCCATAAATATTTTAAGACAGTCAAAGAAATCTTTGCCACAGCTGGTCAGTCAGGTAAGATCACAGGCTGTGTGTAACAGGAACTCCTCCTCTGCCTGGTGTAAGGATAGGGATTTTGCCTCAACACCTGCCAGTCTCTCTGACATTTAGTACAGGTCCTGTGCAGTACATTATAAACTACCAGCAATGCTTAATACAATCTCTTTATATTGTTCTCCTTTTCATTCTCCATTAAACAATAGAAAATACAAATAAAATCAGAACAAAAGCCACGCATTTTGAGTAACGCAAGTCAAGCAGAAAGCATCCTACCTACAACAGAACAACTGATAAAATAACCTGCTCATCTACTGCATAAGCATCATTGTAGAGCAGTAGAACATGTAGATGTCCCACTGCTAAACAATTTGGTTTTTGGTCTTTCAAAAAAATTAAAAAAATAGAAAAACCTCTCCTTACTTATGAGCTAAGAGGAGAGAAAGATTTGTTTCATTTCAAGTCAATAGAGGAAACAGTGAGAAAGTACACTTAAATGTCTTTTTTTTTTTTTTGTGCTAAGCTCACAAGAAGCCACTTGCTCAAGCTCTCTTGATAGCCAGTCTCAACTGTACATAAACATCTCATAAATTATAGGCAGTGTTCACGATATTTTCGGTTTAGGTTAGTTGGGGTTTTTTAAGCCTTGCTCTCACTAGGCAAGCAAAGAGGAGTAACTGAGGCTTAATTTTTGCTTTTTGCAGTACTTTTTGAAGTTAGTCTACAAAGACTGCCACCAGTGTTATTGTCCAAGGTGAGGGGCGCAGAGGACAGAACTCTACCAGCTGCTGGGAATACAACACTACCAGTACAGATAAACTCAAATACACACTTTTTGATAGAGGATAATTTACATCAAGAGTTTAGAAAACGAATGCCACTCAGTAGGAAGCATCCTTGGCTCTATCAAGGTATTTTAGAGAGCGAAGGACATTTGAATTTTATGTGAATGGGCACACTGATATGAACTGGAGTCTTAGAGGAACCAGAAACCAGAGCATATTCATAACTGTATTTGGTGCAGCCTCGAAAGAGATAGCCTTAGAGACAAGAACATATTAATATTCTTTTTGATTGTTACTATTTTTTAAAAATTTTAATATCTGAATACTTTTGAATTCTTTTCCATTTGCTGAAATTTTCAGGGGGTCTGGAAAAAAAAGCAAACAACACCCTGTGATATAGTATAAAACTAATATTTCAAAATAAAGTTCACGCTAAACCAGACAACTCCATAAAAACATGTTCACTGCTGGATGTAATTTTTCCCCCAAGAAAGACACCGTTAAATGCCCAATTAAATAACACAACCATGCAACTGAAGATGGAGGTCAACCATGCAGCTAACAGCAATGACTGCAGATGTACCTGATTATCATGAAGATTTTCTGCTCCCTGACGAGGGGACGACTCCTCACACACAGCAAGACTCCGGACAAGTTTTCCTTTAGCTCCTGACTGAATAAGAGACAGAGAAAACAAAACAGAAAGCACTACTACTGACCCCAAGTCACATAATTTGCCCAAATATCTGCCTAAATATCCCAAATAACAACTAACCACCCCCTCAGCAAAAATGCATCTGCCTTCAATGTGGATAGAAGAGGATTCTAAGCATTGACCCATTTGCCACAGGGAAGGTGAAAGGTTTCTTTTTTCCTTTTAATCATTTCTGCTACAGTTCACTCACTTCCACCAAAAATTGTAACTGCAAAGAACGGATAATCCAATACTGAAGGTAATTTAACATAAACTCAAAGGTTCCTTTTGTCATATGGTTTGGGTTTTTTGTTTTTTGGGGTTTTTTTTGAGGGTCCCTCCCTTTCTTCTAGTAGTACTATATCCAAGGAACACGGACAATAAAATGTGCAGGTGCTATGGATCTGCACTTGAAAAATTAAAAGAAGTTTTTAGGGTTTCATTTGTTCCTAGAAGTTCCTTCCCATCCCTGCCCCCACCCTCTCCCCCCCTTAGGGAACTCAGCAATCTCTGCTTCCTTCTGTCAAGATTAGTCCATTAAAATGGACTTAAAATTCTAAGAGAAACATTAATTACTAAAGCAAAAGGAATGTACCTTTTCCTTCTCCAGTGGTGCACAGAAGCACACATGCTGTCTAACACAAGCACACAGCAAGCCCAGCAGCATAAAAGTATGATGGATAAAGGGCAGTCTGACACATTATATTTAGAGGCAGTTGTCTGCCTTTGTGCAACAAGAATACGGGGTAAGGGGCAGAAAAAAACCCACAACATAAACAAAAAAACCAACCACACAAGAAAGGCTACCATTCCAACTGCAGGTAGACATTTAATTGAAATTCTTCATCCTGTTGTGGCATGCAATTCCAAACAGAGATAGACCCTTACCTTAGATCTCTTTTTCTGCTGATTTGCACCTCGTTTCTGGGTATAGCAAAAAAAGAGCAGTTATCACTTCAGTGGAAAATGGGCATGACAAGAGCTTTACCAACATATAGACTCAATCACTTCTAAATGACATTTTAAATCAGTTTCTGACTGCAAAAGCAACTTCCTCAAACCCTGTCTGAAAAGCAGGGAAAATTAAGAATCATCTCTGCTTATAATTATTCATTTTATGAACAGGTATAAACAAGAGAAAATACACTGCACAGTGTTCTGCAATTTTGGATATAACAACAAGGTAAGAAAAGGTATACTTAAGTAAATACTCCCCCTCTCCAAATTCCTCTTAAATTGTAGAGTCCCCCTTTATTTTTATATTTGATTGAGCAAAAAGGATTAAAGCTCCCTCATCCGATAAAGGCTTCTTATCAAATTACCTTCTTAGGCTTTGCATAACAACTTTTTGTTGGTAGTAACACCTACAAACCAAACCACATATTAAGTAGTTATTCATTAGTATTACCTGTAAATTCATGAGATTAAGGTAGTTTTCTAAATCCTAACAAGGTAAAACAGTCAAATATTTCACAAAGTTTTAACACAGATGTCTAGAAATAAACTTCTCAGAAAAAGTAATAACAGGGACAGCAGCCTAAAGAGCTTGAAAAGTATAACAAATAACAGCATTTTATAGCAAAAAAAAAAAGAACCAAAAATAAAAACAAATAAATAAATAATTTCAAAAGGAAAAATAGAAACAGTCTCAAAATCATAAGAGAAAAAATAAGGGAAGTGTAGGCAATGAAAGAAATCACAGAAATGGAAAAGCAATGGTATCCCATTGATATTTTAACATGCCCATTTCACTATTCCTGTCTTACCTGCTGCTCTGTCTTGGAATCGCTGAGCTTCTCCTCCTTCTCCTCTACTTCTGAGCTTTCAGATTTATTAAGAATACAGTTGTCTGGATTGGCTTCGGAGATGGCAGTCTCCTGCTCTTTTGCAGCTTCCTCTGCTGTCTCCTGGTTCAATTTACCTTGCTCAGACATTCTTCCAGACAGAAATTAAAATAACAAGATTTGGTGACCTGAAAGGTCATGTTATCACGACACAAACACACACACACACACAAAAAAAAAACCACAGGGGGTGAATTTTTTTTTTTATTTCCCAGTTGCGTTTCCTTTATAAAAAAAACTAAAATGTGCGCTCAGGAGTGCAAAACTATGTATGTCCCGGCTGAAGAGACACACTGAATCCATAATATTGGGTAACAGCCGAATTGTGCCAGGTTAAGCAAGCAGATCTCTAATTAAACAGTCTTTGTGCAGAGCAGATATAAGGTACGGTGCTGTGACAACCCAGCCCAGCCCCAGGACTGCCAAGGTGCAGGCAGGGAGAGTGAGGCACTCTGCTACAGAGCTCAGTGGCACTAAGCAGGAAGGACCCATTCAGACTTCTAGGTGTATTGCATTTCAGTGCTCCCCTCCCCTAATCTTTTTTCCATTTTTTTTCTTTAATAAAAGATAGTAGCCAAACAAATACAAATAAAAACCAAGCGTGAGCAACAACACTTTTTAGCACTCGAACATGAGTTTTATGCATAGCAGAAGTCATGGTGCTCATTACCACTTTAAATATATACATATATATATATATAAATTAAGAGCTAATCATTCAAGATAAATATGAAATCTAAATTTGGCTATAAAGTTCCCAGGGTCAACATTTTCAGGGATCAAACCAACAGCTCCATTATTAAAACCCTAATCCTCTTCCCCAACTCCATATCATTCTCCAGTACTACGAAAATCCTACAGGAAGCTCTTGGCAGGTACTTCTAATGAAGATATCTTAACCGAACTACATTTACTCTCAGCTCACAACAGGTTGTTGTACAGAAGCTTTAAAGGCTTTTCAAAGTTAAAGCCTATTATTATTTTCTCTCTCTTTTTCTCTCTCTCTCTCCCCCCCACCTCTCTCTTGAAGCCTCTCCCACTGATCAATTGTCAAATCAGACTCATGAATAATTTAACTTTTCTTTCTCCGTCCATTTGGCTTAAGAAGCATCTTCAGGAAAAACAACTGTGGATGAAAAACGGAGTTATTTCAGAAAGGGTCTTTTGCAACACCTTGCCATTTCTCAACAATGAAACAGCGGCTATTAAGCAAAATCACACTTTGTCATTTTTTTTTTTACAGTTTGAAATTAAACATTCAACAGATCTGGTATCACTTACCTTTACCTTTTTTTAAGCTATGTTTTAAATGAAAAAAAACTAAGACATACTTTTTCCAGTTTTCGCTTTTGTTTTCACACTATAAGCAAATAAAATTTCCTATATAATCTCCCTGTTAAAGAAGGACTGTGGATTCACAAGAAATGAAGCCACATGGTTCACAAACAAACTGACTGGAATCTGAAACTCACAAATCAGCTCACAGTACAACAAGTCAAGCTTCAAGGTATTCACCTTCCTTCCACCACTCTCCCCAAGAGGGCTGATGATACTGGCTACTCTACAGTTACAATTGAAACTTGAACCACTTAATGAAAATTCAGAACACGATGTGTGGCAAGACCTTTAACTGGGCAGTTAAATAATCCTTAATTTGTTAAGATTTTCATCAAGAAATGCACACACTCTTCATGAACTTGCAGCTCATTGACATGCTTACACAGTGTTCAGAAAAACAATGAGTCACATGAGCTGCACGAAAGAAGCCATTTACCTGAAAAACTGCTATAATTCCCACTGTCTTTCTCGTGTCTTCTGTTGCTCTTTGCTGGTTAAGTCCAAACAAATTATCAACGACAACGTGAGTCCCATGTCCCCATTAACAGTTCAGAGGGCCAATCTCCATTCTGGTCCTTCAGAGAGCTTGATGCACCATAGTCAACCTGGAAAAGACGAAAAGTAAATAACAACATCGGTAATGATCATGGCACAAGGTAAGGATGTAATAGATAGGACCAGCTTTCTAACACTAATGACCAGCTTCAAGCAAATCACTTTCACAGCTTGATCCAGCTCCACCTGTCTCAAAACTGCCTGCTTCTTCTCTAATGAAGGCTAGAGCCGGCTGTTCAAGTCATAACAGCTCCTACGCAAGGAGCTAAAATTAACAATTGCATTATGCGCTGAAGATTACTCATTTCAATTTTAACCTTTTTTAGTGAATTCCAGCACTTTTCATTAAAAAAAAGGCATATATACATATTTATATATAAGCTCATCTGTTTGCTTCAACAGAAATCAATGAGAGCATGAGGAAAAATGATTTTCCTACTCTTTAACTATGGCTTCTGCTCCAATTAAAATTTCAGTAGTCAAACACTATTGGAAAAGAAGCTAGGTGGGTACTTTTAGAGAGTGACCTGCTTTACCGGGGTAGTGAATAGAGATGTTCATTTAATAAGCCAAATAAAAGCTGAAATGACCCAGAATGGGAGGAGGAGGAGAAGGAAAAAATCCTATTCTTTGAACAACAGCCACCAGAAAAACTTTCATTTGAGGCACTGTGCGAGAAGGGAAAAGCAGACCTCCAGGTTATGGCTTGGAAAATAAACCTAAAGAGAGTTGCCTCAGCAATGCAATTTATGCTGTTCATCAAGATTGTGTTTGCCAGCTGAATAGTTGATTTAACAGAAAACGAGCATTTTAGGATGAGTCGGACTGATTTACAAGCCATGGCCACGTGCTGAACTGTCTTGATACAACAGGCACCTCTTCTCAAGGCTTGCATGTGAGTCACAGTTGAAGCAATCAGTGCAGGCATACAAAAACAGCAACTACTAAGCACGAATCATTCTATTTGGGGGGAGGGGAGATGGGGAGAAAAATAGACAACAATAAAATCAAAAAACCTGAAAATCATCTCACGTTGTTAGACTCCCTCTTTCTGCAGCATGTTTTACACTGTGCATGACTGCAATTGCTGTACAGCATGTGCACTGGAACTCACCATGTGAAAAGAGCTGGATTTGATGTGCCAGAAATGGAATTTAGCTTTTCAAAAAAAAATCAAGTCCTGCTCTCTCTGGGAGCCCCAGTGCACAGTGGAGACCAGCAGGCAGTTCTGTAAATTACCACTGCCATTCTGCAAATTTATGTACATAACAATATTTCTTTTTCTCAAACCACTTAATAATTTGTACAGAGTCACAAAAAATAAGTCTTCCCGCTAGCTTTTTGGTATTTCTTGCAGGACTTTTTTTGAAATTTTTGCTTATTACAAACATAAGATCACAATGGAAATGGAGGAACAACATGGAAAACTATGCCCAAGCGCTCAAGCACATGCAAAAGTATTTCATGGATACAATGCTCAGAGAGCAAAGAGTGAATAAACCACTGACTGAATATCCTTTCCTCATAACCATCTTCCATCACACTACCAAAAGAGAAAGGGGTGAAAAAAGAAAAATCAATCAAAGCCAATCACAAACCAAAAATCCTAAGGAAGTAGGGTGCATTAAAGTTTCGCCTGGAAAACAGCCAGCCAGGGAATTGACAATTGCAATCAAAACCCTCCAAAACAAACAGACAGATATCTGTACCAAAATCAGGACACACACAAAAAAAAATAAAAATTCAGTGTGACCATGTAATGTGAATTAACTATTCATAAAACAAACAAACAGAGCAAAAACAAACAACAAACCAACCCAACCAAAGGTATCATATACAGCAAGCAAGGAGATCTGCCAAGACTTGGTCTTGTGCCACAGATGCTCAACATCATTTTATCATGCTTTACCAAATACATATTTCTTCATAAAATGAGTTCCCCATATTGTTACATTTAAGGTCGCTGAAGCCAACATCATTTTTCATTGGCAATGTACAAGAAGACCATAGAATCTTAAATTAAAACAACAAGAGCTATCCATAAATTTTCCCAAGAATACATAAGCAAGTGGAAAATAATCTTATAACGTGCAGCTACCACCCTCAAACCTGCAATGACAGTCTCTTAGGATGATTTTTTAAAGAAATCCCTCCTTATTATCTTCTGGGAAATAAAAAGAAGAGAAGAAGTGAGACATATAGCAGTTAAATCGAGCTCTCCACCTTCCCTTAATATAGATTTCCTCCTCCTACATTAGGCAATTTACAAGTGATGACTAATCATTTACATACTACAATACGTAAAATACACTTCTGGTTGTTTGGGTGGGTTTTTAAAGGGACTCAGGTTTCTATAAAATATTTCTGGGCGAGTATAAATAGCAAAAAGGAATCAGTCAGAAAATAGCCTTTAAAAATGAGACATTTATGTTTCCAGAATATCTGGTTATTCGGTGATGAATGCACTTTTTACTATTGTCAGTGCTGCAGTGACAGCACTGCCATGGAAAAACACATTGGATTATTCTTTTCCTTGCGCATCAACAGAAACGTCAGTGATGATTTGACTGACAAAACCTTCAGTACCGAAGTGACGCAAAAGGCTGAACAAATGCACTTCTGTTTTTGATCCTCAGGTAGAAACCGCAAAGCTTGTTGCTAGGCAAAAACTACTTTCTTGATTTGCAAGCGAACAAAATTTCATAGGGGTGGTGGGATCGTAGAAGAGGTCTACAGAGCTTGAAGCAAAATTTCAGCCCCTAATTCCTTAAGCAACTTGAATATTGCCCATGGGAATGCAACAGAAAATACAGGGGCCCACCAAGTCATCTGCAGGTCCACTTTAATGGAAATATAAGCACCAGTTGCTCAGCATACACTGTGGGATGGCAATGCTGATTTTTTTCTTAAATTGATTTCTTTTCAACAGGATTTTCATTTTAGAAGCTGAAAGTACTACTGAGCTTGAGCAAATACAGTCAGAGCTCAAAGAGAAAGGGATGAAGAAGGCGTGTATGGTCACATACATTCATACAACACATACCACGCAGATTCCAAGAAAAGTCTGTGGGAAGGAATACATTTCATTTAATGCAAGAGTTTAAAGACTATACTCAGAAAAAAAGCTGTCAAAAAAGCAAAGAACAGAAAAACAAGCAAAGACATTAGAAAGCCCTATGCAATGAGCATCTGAGAGGTGACCATCAACTGACATTAAAGAGAGACATCTGAAAAAACCATTAGAGCCCACCACAGGTGAGCAAGCCTTTTCTGTATTATATAATAAATGTTTTGATGTTCTCATAGGTATCACATGCTGAAGCAGGCATTTCAAGATCATTATGCTCCCAGGATCAACACGTCCTCTCTCAGGGAGGAGATGAGCAAGCTTTAAGGCCAAAGAGCATAATCTTCACTGAGAGCAGGTAGCAGGCAGGACTAAGCCCTGACAGAATGAAATCCAAGGGTCTTTCTTCAAACAAATCTGCTAAGCATAGAGGTAAACGCCATTTCAACCTGAATGGATCCTGTTACTGAAAACTGGCTGATGCTGGCCATATCCACACACCAGGATCCTTCTCATCCCATAGTGATGAGAACCACTTTCATGAATGGTTTGCAGGTAAGACCCCATGAGCTGGAAGCAGAGCTGTCAGTCATGATTTCCACTATGTGATATATACCTCATTCATACAAGATAGGTTTGACTCATTATTGCTAACTCACTCATCAGACTCCTGGAAACCACTGGAAACAGACCATGGTATTATCATAAGATTATCAGGAGACACAACTTTCAATATTGACAAACTCTCAAGGCCTAAAGCATAAGCTTCCAGTTATTTGACATTTACTTAAATATTCTAGTTTCTACCATCAAGCAAATCTAAGAGAATTTTGTCTTCATGTTGTCCCCTCTTCATCATCACTAAAAAACCAGATAGAGTAATTCCCTATATTTTCTGCTCCTACGCATCACAGACATTTTCAAGTAAAAAGTCATTTAGACTCATCCAATAATGGCACTTTAGCAGAGACTGTCAGCAGACAATATTTTTTTTTCCACAGTTACAGAAACATGAGCATCTGCATACAAGCAACAGCACAATGGCCATTGACCAACCTCAAGGAGACCAGCAATCTATCATCAGTGTCAGTGGTGGTCAAATTTGATGAAAACAGGGCAGATTGAAATATACTGGACTAGATTTGAGACCTTATGCAACAACCAGCTGTCTTTTAAAAGGCAACTAGATGATATGGAGCAGCATCCCAGTTGAAGCATCTATTTTGGAATAGAACTGGCTCTCCTCCCAGTCTGCACGTGAAACCTGGTATTTAAAAATGACAGCAAGAATGAGAAGAGTTTAACAACCAAAGAAAAAACCCAGAAGTAAATCAACTTTTTGTGGTTTACACCCGATTCCTTTTTTCAAATGGATCCTCTTGTTCTTAACAGATTGCCACCAATATTTTTCCACTTTAATCCTCTATCAGATGACCTCATGTCAATGCCATCATCTTTAGCCAAGTAATAATGATGTTCCCTCCAGCTTGTTGTTTTTCTGCAAAGCTAGAAGCTTTATCCAGGAAAATAAATATAGATGGCCTTTAGGGAGAGTCTGCTTTGCTTTAATACTTTAGAAAAGGCTTGAAAAAAAATGCTCTTTTATCTGTCACAATGATCATTTGAAGTCTTCCAGGATTATCATGAAAAGATATGAGGCTTTGAATGATCTGGCTAATAAATGTCAATCACCCAAGTTTAGTAGGAACTGAGTAACACCCAAACTTTTAACAAGCTAATCAGATGTACAAATCAGTACCACTGGAATGACTTGTTTGCTTTAGCCCAGCCTTCAACACCGCCTCATGCATTTCAGACCCATACGCCAAATTGCATCTCATTCCCCGACAAAACCTGACAAATTTCCCTAAAATCAAAGTCATTAAATTAACTGGTCTCACTATTAGGTGGTGGAAAATAGCACAGCACTTGTGACTACAAATACAGGGACAGAGAGCTTCCTAGCCGCCCTTTCAATGTACA